TTATAAATTTCTCTTTTCTAAGTAGAGAGGGACTCGCCCTTCCACAAACCCTTCTCTTTTTCATACCCTTTCGGAGAATCAGGTTCACTTTCTCTAGGCTCCTTTTTCTCATGAAGAGATTAAAAGGGTAGTTTGGGATTGTGGGTCGGATAAGTCTCCTGATCCAAATGGTTTTTATTTTGGTTTCATTAAGCATTATTTGGATCTTATTTCTATGGATGTGGTGGTGTTTTTGCAACATTTTTATCCTCATTCTTCCACCCCGAAGGGTTGCAATGCTTCCTTTTTCTCTGTCATCCCTACGGTGTGGGACCTAAAGGTCATTAGAGATTTTAGACCAATTAGTCTTATTGTTTTCCAATACAAAATTATTGGTAAGTTGTTAGCTAATAGGTTGGTAGTGGTTCTGTTGCTAGTTTGGAGCAGTCTGCTTTCATTAAAGCTAGCCAAATTTTGGATGGTCCTTTTCTATTGAATGAGGTAGTAGCTTGGAGTAAGGCTTTCAAATATCCACTTATGATTTTTAAAGTGGATTTTGAGAAGGCTTATGATTCTTTGTCTTTGGAATATCTTTTGGAGATCATGCGTATTATGGGCTTTGGTTCTATATGGTGTGGCTGGATTCGGGAGATTTTGAGTATAGCTAGAGCTTCGGTTCTAGTGAATGGTTCTCCTACTGATGAGTTTTAGATTTATAGAGGTTTGAGAAAAGGAGATCCTTTATCATTGTTTCTTTTTATTTTGGCAATGGAGGGGTTTCATGTTTCTTTTCTTAAAGCTCAACAAGTGAATATTTTTCAGGGAATCTCCATTAGTGACATCCACATCTCCCATTTGTTTTATGCTGATGATGTTGTTTTGCTTTCTACTTGGGATCCAGATAATGCCAGGTGTATTTTACGTATGTTGAGGTGTTTTTATCTAACTTCGGGTCTTAAAATTAAATTGCAAAAAAGCAAATTGATTGGAGTGGGGGTTTCTTTTTCTCAAGTGGATTCTGTTGCTAGTACTTTGGGTTGTGTTCCAGATTCTCTTCCTTTTGTTCATTTAAGGGTGCCGGTTAGGAAAAATATGGCTAGGGTTTCTGCATGGTCTTTTATTGAGGATCGCTTCTGTTCTAGATTATCTGGCTGGAAAGAGAAGAGTCTGTCTATTGGAGGTCGTCTTACATTGGTTAAGTCAATTCTTGGAGGTTTGGGAAGTTATCTGATGTCCATATTTATGGACCCGTCTAGTGTTCTTAATTCTTTGGAGTCACTTTGCTCTAGAGTTTTTTGGGGTGCAGATTTAGAGGATACATGTATGCATTGGGTCCGTTGGGATAGAGTTTTGGCTGATAAAAAACAGGGTGGTCTTGACATTGGAAGTTTGTTTTCTTTTAACCAGGCCCTTCTTTTTTGCTGGTGGTGGAGATTCTCTCATAATCCAGATTTGATTTGGGTCAGGATGGTGAAAGCTTTACATGGTCCTAATGGGGGTTGTTTTTCTTTGTCGTTGCGAAGAGGGTGGACATGTCCTTGGAGTAGGATTATTAGGATGTTAATGCAGCATAGAGACCGGGGTGTTGATTTGATTTATTTTTGTTTGATTAGAGTTGGATATGGGAGTAACACTTCTTATTGGCATGATGTTTGGAAAGGTGATCAGCTTCTTGCTGTGTCTTTTCCAATAATTTATGCTCTGGATGCTCATCGGAGTGTCTCGATTCGGGATAGGATTATGGTTGGTTGGAGTGTTGATTCTATCAGACGAGTTCCTAAGGGTGGAATTGAGCAGACCTAGTGGGATGAATTGATTGATTTGTTGTGTGATCTCCACCTTCATTCTTTTCCTAATCGGTTGTGTCTTTTCCAATAATTTATGCTCTGGATGTTCATCGGAGTGTCTCGATTCAGGATAGGATTATGGTTGGTTGGAGTGTTGATTCTCTCAGACGAGTTCCTAAGGGTGGAATTGAGCAGACCCAGTGGGATGAATTGATTGATTTGTTGTGTGATCTCCACCTGCATTCTTTTCCTAATCGGTTGGGTTGGTCGGTTGATGTTTCTGATTCTTTTTCGGTTTTGCCTGCTACATTTCTTATTGATAGTACTTTGTTGTTTACGGTTGGCTGTGAGACTAGATGGAATAATTGGGTGCCTATTAATTTAAACATTTTAATTTGGATGTTGAGGTTATGGAGTGTTCCAACTAGACAGAGTTTATCTCATCGTGGAATTACGCTTAACTCGATAATGTGCCCTATTTGTTCCAAAATGGTTGAGTCTATTGATCACTTATTCGCTGATTGTATTCAATTGAGGGATATTTGGTCTCGTGTTGCTATTTGGTGGGATGTTCAAATTCCATTCCAGTTATCCATTGATTTCATTCTTTCATGGTCTCACTCGACTGGTTTGAGAGGTGGTCAAAGAAAAGCTTTTGACGCGGTAATTTTTACTACTTTATGGTGCTTATGGAATTTTGGGAATGCTTCTATTTTTGGAACGGTGGTGCCTAGGGGTGAGCATTTGGACTGATGGATCAAACTGGACTGGACCGTTTTTTTGGACCTCTGGGCCGGTTCTCGGTTCTAGGAATCCATCAAAACCGGTTTGATTTTTTTCCCAGTCCATTCCGGTTTTTTACCGAGTTTAGATCCGGTTGGATCCGATTAAAAAAATTGTAATCTGTAAATTTTTTTTAACAATCATAAATCATTTGTTTTAAGTCAGATTAACACACATTTTTTTTTCAACGTTTAATTTAAAGTTTGTAGATGAATATAATTTTGTTGATTTTAGTATTATATTCAATGAGTTACGGTCTTTCAAAGTTGAGCAATCAAAGCTGAAAATTTTCAACTTTTCCGCAACATTTTTTAAATTTTGTAATCTATGAAAATTTTTAAACAATCATAACTCATTCGTTTTAAGTCGGATTGACACACACTTTTTCTAACGTTTAATTTATAGTTTGTAGATGAATTTAGACTATAATTTTGTTGATTTTGATATTATATTCAATGAGTTAGGTCTTGTTTGTTTTTCTGAAGCCAAAATGTCTGCAGTCTGCAGACTACATCTGCAAGCCTCTGCAGCAGAAGAGGTGGACCAAACATCTGCAGTATCCAATAAGAAGACTGTTTTTTTTTTTAACATCTGCATGCTACTGAAATTAACTGAATTTTAAATAAATTTATTTTTCAAACTTAAAATGATTTTTCAACACAAAAATTTTAATAATAATACTCTTATAACATTGAAAATAAAATTCATGCAACTAAATTAGTCATACAATAAAAAAATTGTTTTTACAATAACAATTTCATTTAAAACAATTCAATCTATATTGTGCATCAACTGATCAACAATTTCATCCCGTAACTGAGTCATATATTCACGGTCTGCTGCAGTACCATGTGTTGGAATCTTGTTTTCATCATCATCAATGGCCACATTGTTATTTCAAAACAAGATATTGGGTTCATCGTATCGTGCGAAATACTCATCACTCAGTCCTTCTCTCCTTATAAAATTATGAAGCGCAAAACATGCCATGACAATGTTTCTTTGTGTCACAAACGGGAATGATGCCATCCTATTCAATATAGGGAAGTGTGCTTTCAAAACACCAAAAGCACGCTCAATGACATTCCGAAGTTTTGCATGTCCATGGTTAAATTTTTCTTTATTGGTCAATGCACGTCTTTGACGAAAATCTCCAAGCCAATACCTCACATTACGATAAGGGGGCCATAAATCCTCGAGTGTGTGCATACGCGACATCACAAAGATAATATTTGTCTGTAAAAAATGCAAAACACTAATCAATTTTCAATTAAGATAAAAATATTTATAGAAAAAACAAAAACTTACCTGGTGGTGGAAACGAGAATGATGCTTATGGATCGGCTACTGCTTCTGATAATATTCTAGAGTCATGCGCTATCCCTTCCCTTCCGGCCACAACAAATGTAAAAATCATATTGAATTCACAAATTGCCAATACATTTTGGTAGCAATCTCCCTTTCCTCTACTTCTATATAAGTCTTGTTTCTTAGCAGGGACAACAACATGTATCAAAGTGCCATCAAGTGCACCAACCACTCCTTTGAAAACCCTTTGTAGCCTCCTATTATGTCCTGGAATGTTTGGATTCGGATTAAAAGAAGTTGGTATTATAACATCTTGTGCGAAAAACATCATTTTTTCCAACACTTCATAAAAAAATTTATGAATTGTTTTCTTCGAGTGTTGAAATCTCCGCTTGATAATCACGTAACGTTGATTATGGCCAATCATCATAAAAAACATAGCCATCTTTTCCTCAACCGATACATGTTTGTTGTCCTTTAATGAGTAATTTGCTCTAAAATGAGCACATAGTCGTACAAAAGACTCACGGGACATGCGTAGTACTTCAACACATTGTAAACGATTATGATGTAATAACTCCAATGTGTATTCATGTCCCGTCATTTCCGAATCATTATCCCGCAATCGTTTCACACCCCTCTTCCAAAAATAACGGATGTATAGGTACATAAGAATTATGAGAAGTAACTTTTGATTGTGATTCGTTATGAACCTAAAATCAACAAAGTAGAACTTTAAAAAAAACATTACATAAACCATATTTCAAGTAGCAAATAAACATTACATAAATCATATTTCAAGTACCAAAAAAACATTAGATAAACCATATTTAAAGTAGCAAAATAACAAAAAATAGTTCCTACAAGGGCAAAAACATCTAACAAAATAGTTCCAACAAAGGCAAAAAGACCTAACAAATAGAAAATCATCGGACAATCTTTCCATCCTTAGAAACTCCTAAACTTGTGCCCGTCATCTCAAGCCATCCACGTAATATCTCAGGAACATCGGGCAAATGCATCCACATCTGTCTCATGTTCATGGTCCCTCCAAAAATATGATATGCAACAAAGCGTAAAGGATCTATAGGGCCTAACTAAAGAACCTCTAACTTCTCTAAACATTGAGGAATTGTATACCCTTTAGTCAAACTTTGTAGAGTTTTTTTTCATTTCTAATGCTAAATCATCAGCAGTAATAGATGTTCCATCAGGTGAAGAAGCAGACGATGAGGCACTAGGAGCTACATGAGTTGAGGGTTTAGCCCTTTTGTTGGGGTTACCGAATGGTGAAGCAGTATATGGTGAAGCAGCAGAAGGTGAACTAGCTAAAGGTGAAGCTGCAGAAGGTGAAGCAGCAAAAGGTGGTGGCCCATGATGGGAAGTGTCAACACCATCATCATCGATTACATGAATAGGGGTGGCGGTGATCTGAAGTGGTGGAACACGACAGGAGGATGCTCCAGCTACTGATGATGATTGGGTTGAGTAACTCCTAAAATTACCGTTGGCACTATTTCCATCAAAAAGACGTACACAAAGATCTGGAAAAGGCAGTGGAATTGTTCTGAATGAAGCAGCCTTCGGATGCCCCTAAACCCAAATGTAACAAAAAATAGTATAAAAATATTTGGCAACTTCAAACATAAATGTTTAATATATACATATATATATATATATATATATATATATATATAATTATATATGTATATATATATATATATATATATATATATATATATATATATATATATACCTTCTTAAAATCATACCACTCCTCGGCTGTTAAGTTGAAAGTGTTTGTTTGAGAGTTGTATATATTACCAGTTTTTTTTTTTTTTTTTTTTTTTTTTTTTTTTTTTTTTTTTTTTTTTTTTTTTTTTTTTTTTTAATACACCCATCCTGTGTATTTGGCTTTCAAATTGTCATATGCGTTTTTCATTTGTTTTTGACTCAACTCAAACCCAAATTTCTCCTTAAGAACTCTTCTAAGCTTTATCCATGAGTCTTTTTGCAAACTCAATCCTTTTCTACCGACACTCTCTACTTCTTCAATACAAGTATCCAATAAACATTTTAAATGTTCATTGATCCATTGTTGTTTTTCTCCCATTTCTAATAAGCAAAATATCATAGACAATAATAATTTCATAAGGTGTTGTAGCATTCACAAATTGACAAATATGATTTCATAAGGTATTATATATCATACACATTCCAACAAAAAAAATAACGATTTGAAACAATAAAGAGTATTTTCAATAACAAATAACAATAAATAATCGACAATTAACATCATTATTTCATATTTCCAAAAACAAACAATAATTTTCAACACATTCAATAACAATTTTAAGCATATTCAACAACAATTTTAAGCACATTCAACAACAATTTGAAACAATAATAAGTATTTTCAGCCTCCTATAGCAACAAAAAACGATTTTCAGCCTCCTATTTCAACAATTTCAAACAATTTTTAGCGCATTCAACACATTTTAACAGCAATTTCAGAAAAAATATATTATTTTCAGCAAATAACAATTTTCATCAACATTTAACAACAAAGTGAAGCAATTTGAAACAATTTTCTGCAGCAATTAACAACAATTAACAACAAATTGAAGCAACTGAAACAATTTTTTGCAACAATTAACAACAATTTTCTGCAATAATTAACAACAATTAACAACAATTTTCTGTAGCAATTAACAATAATTAACAACAATTAACAACAAATCAGCCTCCTATTTCAGCAAAAAAAGAATCAGCCTCCTATTTCAACAATTTGAAGCAAGAGTAATCCTCAATTAACAACAATTTATCAACAAATAAGTGCATTAGTGAGTTTTCCAGCAATAGTAATCCTCAATTTCATCTTGGGATTGAAAAAAAAAAAGCCGAACGAGACAAACCTGTTCGCTGCTCTTCGTGTTCGTTGTTGTTCGCTGTTGTTCGTGTGTTCGCTGTTGCTCGCCTGGACGATTGAAGGCGGCGAACGGTGGTGGGTTGGTAGACGACGGATTGAAGATGGAGGGGTCAAGCTTCTATCGGCTAGGAAGTGGGATGTTTTGACGATGGAGGCGCAAACAAAGAAGATGCATTTTTTAGGGTTAAATCACTTCGCAGACCTTAAAAGAGGCTGACCCAAGTCTGTGTGGTGAAGACCTCGCGCAGACGTTTTTATGTCTGTGCACTTCAGAAAAATAAACACACTGCAGACCTCTAAGTCTGCGCGTAGTCTGCGCCGCACAGACAGAAGACACCACACGGATCTGCAGAGAAAAAACAAACGCCCCCTTATAGTCTTTCAAAGTTGGACTATCAAAGCTGAAAATTTTCAGCTTTTCAGCAAGATTTTTAAAATTTTGTAATTTGTGAAAATTTTTAAACAACCATAACTCATTCATTTTAAGTCGGATTGACCTGTGGTTTTTTCCAACATTTAGTTTATAATTTGTAGATGAATTTAGAATATATCTTTTGTTGATTTTGGTATTATATTCAGTGAGTTACAATCCTTCAAAGTTGAGTTATCAAAGCTAAAATATTTCAACTTTTTAACTATTCATTTAGACTATAATTCTGAATTTTATGTATCTTTGACAGATAAATCATATGAAATGGATTTTCGTGAACTTGATTTATATGTTAGTTGATTTTATTTGGAAAATTAATTTTGCAAGTTATAATATTATAACATTAATGTAGATTAGTTATGCACGAAACGGAAACGTAATCATTTTTACAAGTTGTATCATATCAAACCCAATAACATATTTGTTTTAACGAGATCTATCAAACTCAAATACTAATTTTAACGACTTGTAATCTATGCTATTAAAGTTGTACCGGTCCAAGAACTGGAAAACCCGGACCTGGACCGCGACCCAGACACGGACACGGACACGAACACGACTCATCCGGTCCGGTCCACGGTCCACAATATTCTCCATAACCGGTTCGGTCTGGTTCGGTCTAAATGCTCACACCTAGTAGTGCCTAGGAAATCTTTTATTTTTGATGATGTGGTTGAGAGATATTTTTTTTTTTTGGATTTCTATAGGTTTACTAAAGCTAAGATAGGGTGGACTTTTTGGCTTCGTAATATTTCTTTTTCTAGCTTCTTGCTATTTTTTTTAATGAAATCCCTGCCGTTCAAAAAAAAATGACTTACTTTTAAACAAAAAAATATGAAAGACTAATTGTGTACAAAAATATTAAAGACTAAATGTGTACAAAATGAGAAATATATTACCCTATTAAGTCATTTTTCTGAGCTAACCTGGAATAACCGCTCATAAGTACTGAATGTGTACAATTTAACAAGTTGAAAGGGTAAATGTGAACGAAAAAAACTCAGTAATCAAACATGTATGAATCAAAAAATATATTACCATTTTAAGTCATTATCCCTTTTTATTAAATAGGCTTGAACTATTTGACATTTGATACAAATCAATTTCTAGTTTTAGAATTTCACTTTATCTTTAATTTTAATTGAAGTAAGAAATATTTTTGCGAACCAATTATTTTATTTTGCTAAAGATCAAGAGTTTAGTCTGTAAGGTCTAGTTTTTGCCAAATTTTGAATTGTTTATATTATTTTTGGATATTAAAATGATTTATGGATTTTTTAGTCCTTTTCGATTACTCGTAATTTGTTCAAAAATACAGATGGTAAAGTTTTCTTTCACTTTATTAATTTTCATAGAAAATTGTAAAAAATTAGTAATACAATAATCATTTCTATATATATATATATATATATTATATTATATATATATATATATAATATATATATATATATATATATATATATATATATATAGCACCTGGTTCCCGGTACGTATTTCTTGTATTTAATAATTATTAATTCATGCATTTTTACCTTGGACTCGGCGAGTTGATGGACCAACTTACCAAGTAGGAGTGGGATGAGACGCGGGATCTGAGCCTCGAACTCGGTGAGTCGGTTCACCGACTCGGCGAGTAGGTCCTGTTTGGGTAAAAACCCTAACCAGAGTGTTTGCACCCTATTTAAGCACTCTAACTCGGCCTCCCTTGTCCCTAACACTTCCAGAGAGTTGTAGAGCGAAACCTTAGCCCCCATATTATTCTTGTGAGTGATTTTGCTTGGTGAAGGAAGTTGGATCTTAGAAGAAGAAGGAGGAGGTTGAAGAGTGCAAGGAGGGGAGTAGATCTGAAATCTACCCTGTGAGAAGCCTCCATTGAGGTATAAAAGTTGCTACCTTGATCACTAGTTCATTAGATACCATTTTTGTCCCAAATTGGTGGTTTTCAAGCCCTAAAACACCAAACTCCATGTGTTGTGCTTAATGATCCGAAAGGACTTCAGATCAAGACCTTGTGGACATATTAGAAGCATAAAGTTTCTGTGGTTGAAGTGATTGAGGTCCCTATTGAGTGTATGACCTCATAAAGAGCTTGGATTTGCCTTTTGGAGGTTGTAGGGCCATGCATGCACGTAAAGTTTGCAACTTTACGTGATAAGCATGCCCTAGGAACATAGATCTATGGTTTTGAAGTGTTGCATGTCTCAGATTTGGTCTATATGGGAAATGGGTCAAGGGACTCAGCGAGTCCCAAAGTGGAACTCGACGAGTCCTATGAAGATTGTGTGGTAGTCGATGAGTTGTTCTTCAAACTCGGCGAGTCAGATGAACAGTTACTGAGTAAGAGAGGTTTAGGTGTTGAAGGTCCAACCCTTCGTATCTACATGCAGAATTAGCAATCTAACGTGTAGCAATGGTCCTAGAAACCCAAATCCTCATAAAGGATGCTCTGGTGAGGATTTGGAAGCGAGTAGGAGATCTGCTCGTATGGACTCGACGAGTTGTCCTTTGACTCGGCGAGTCGGTTCGTGAGCGGGTTCTATCGTCCCAAGTAGTGAGTTAGTGGGAGACTTGTAGAGTGGGATCGGGTTAGTGGGAGAAGGACTCGGCGAGTCGGTGCCATGACTCGGCGAGTCCAGTCAATTAGAAGTTGACTTTGACCAAGGAGTTGACCTTGGACCAGGGGTGGGTCAGTCATCTGACCTAAGGGTGTGTATGAGTGGCTAATCTATGTTTATAGCCGGAGGATTACCGGTTTAGCAGTCAGGCGCTTAGCAAGAAGACTTTCAACAACTACTTTTCGAGGTGTGTTACCTTCCAGTAGCGGTGGGTCTAAGGCCACAATGCCGGCCCACCAGTAGGAGACGTATAAAAGATGAATGTATTTTTGATATCATCTAGGTTTGTTACTACCTGATATGTTATATTCTAGCATGATATGTTGTATGTGATAGTAATAGAGTACGGTTGTTAGGACCGAAGGGTAGTCAGACACCCTAGGTACGTCTGACAGTATGTGATGATATGTTTGTATGCTGGCTTGTTATGTTATATGTGATAGAGGTAGTAAGAGGGGACTAGTCCCCGAGTTCGGTTGTTAGGACCGAAGGGGAGTTCAGGCACCACATATATGTCTGATAATATGCTTATGTTATGTTATATGTGATAGTAGTAGTAGGGGGTGAAATAGTCCCTGAGGTTTTGTTGTTAGGACCGAAGGGTAGTCAGCACCCCAGAATGGCTTGACATGGGTAGGTCGGCACCCCAGAATGGCCGTACGGGTAGGTTGGCACCCCAGAAATGCCTGGCAGTATGTATGTGATATGATTGTATGGTATGTGGTACGATGGGAGAACACACTAAGCTTCGTGCTTATAGTTTTCAGTTTTGGTTTCAGGTACCTCTTCAGTGAAGGGGAAAGAGCCGGCGTGGTAGTGACACATCATACACACGCACACTTTGGATTTCCGCATTATGAGATGTTCTGGGATTGTACTCTGACATTATTAGTATTTTCATGTTTTGGGTTTTCAGACACGAAATATGTTTTATGAAATGATATGATCGGATGATGTCTTACTACAAATATCTTACAAACCACTTATTTTAAATGAAGTTTTTGGGCGTGAAATTTGGGTCGTTACAAGTTGGTATCAGAGCCTTGGTTTGAGGGATTCGGACACACCTTCGGGAGTGTCTGAACTCAAATCAAGGGATTAAAGGATTTCAAAAAAAAAATAAAGAAAAAGTTTTCTAA